ATTTTTTTCTTATCTTTATTTTATCGTTATTTTTTTTTTCTTTACTCGTTCAGTTACATATAACAATAATGCATATTGAAAAAAGAAAATACTAAAAATTTGATAATTCTCATTTATATATAATTAAAAAAAACAAGCAATCGACTCATTTAAAAATATAGCATAGATTAGTATAATAGCCATTTCGTCTTTTTGTTTTAATATTATCGAAATATATCTTATTTTACGCATGTTTCCTACATATTTACGTTGGATTCTTCTAATGTAGAGTTTTCTTTTAATACTATTGAAATTTTAATATTTTCTCCATATTGGCATAAGAATATAAAAATGAAACTATTTAGTAGAAGTTGATTTTTGTAAAAAGAAAAAAATTTATTTTATTTAGGTGCTATTACTATTGATCAGGTAGATCCACAAGGTAATTTTATTGTTATCGAGAATGCCGGTTCAACAGGCAAAGATCAAGATTTGAATGGTTGGACATTACGACGTAGAGTTGATAACAATAATGAAACTGTTTATAAATTTCCGGATCATTTTGTACTTAAATCACGATCACGTGTACGTATTTTAAGTCGTACAGCTAGTAAAAGTTCAACAAATGAAAGAGAAGTATTAGTAGCTGATGGTATTCAAAATTGGGGTACAGGTACAAATATGGTTACACGTCTTGTGGATAATAATGGAGAAGAAAAAGCTTTATTTAATCAGAGATTCCAATAAAGTTCGATACATATTGACAATAATGAAAATAACAAAAGTTCATTTTTTTTCATCGTCTCTTGGTTGCTATTATTTAATTAGAAATGAAATTGTCTTTTTTTTTTTTTTTTTTGTTTCCTATTATCATTTCTTTTGTTCTTTCTAGACCTAGAAAACTTTGTGTGTGTGTGTGTGTGTGAGTTTTCGTTTTTCTTTTTGTGTTTACAGTATCTAGAAATTTATCTTTCTTTTTCTGGCGGTTTACTTATTTACACTATTAAAAACTTCTTTTCATATTGTTTCTTTCTATATCTGTGAAAAAACTTTTCTTTTTTCTTTGTCTTCATTTGCCATTGAATGCAAGATTATGTCTTGTTTTCTGTTCTTTTTTTTTTTTATATCTTTTTAGGTTCAGTCGCTTTTCTTTTTCGTGTTCTTCTTTTTTTTTGTCATATATTTCTATTACACTGCTAATAAATCAGACACACACATAAATGAAATTTGCAGGGCGAAGTTGTTTTTTTTTGTGTATATGGATTAGTTTTTGCTCGTGTGCATTAACATTATATGCTGTTTGTTTATTATTATTTTTTTTTTTATATTAATTGAACATTAAAGATAAGACATTAAACAACAACAGATAAATAGAATAATATGAATTAAGATCATTGAATTTTTATATGGTTTTTGAAATTTGATAAATCATTGAAACAGACAGACAATAGTTTACCTTCATTTTTAGCTTTTTTACATAACCATTCAATATGAGGACTGATACGTGTATAAAACCCAGGACTATTATTTCTTGCACATCCAAGGCCATGTGAAACAATACTAAAAGTAAAGAAATATCTTTCTAATAAATCTATTTGTTTTATAAACATTTTAAAATAATTCATTGTTTGCTTAACAAATATACTTTTGGTACTGTTTATTTTTTTTTTTCCCCCTCAGGCAGTATCTTAGATAAACATTCGTTTCATTTATTTATAAAGTGTCTGTGTATTAGGACATAAATACATAGTGCATGAATAATCGTTTTATAAATATATATAAAACTTTGCCTGAATACAGTACAACATTTGTGATTTATTTCAATTGAAATGTTCCCAGGCAAGCACAATATGAGAAAAAGATTATTATATATAAAATTATATGAACTGATATTTCTCCATTGTGACGAAAGCTTATTTTTTTGGTTTCTTTTTTTTTGCCTTTCACACGAATAACATAAGCAAATACCTTAATGAATTGTTATCATTGAAATCATTAAAGAAATACAGCATGGTCAAAAAAAAGAACTTAAAATATAATCTCTACAGTTAGAGTGTAGGTGTGGATATGGATGTGTTGTGAACATAGTATCATTTATTCACTCACACCCACACCGACACTCACACCGACACTCACACCGACACCGACACCCACACCCACAACCACAACCACACCCACACCCATCCACACTCACACCCCACGCCCACACCCTCAAGATTTGTCCACATTGACCTTCGACGCCAAATTACGACCTATTTTTAGATACAACTCGGAAGGCTGAATAATAGAATTTCGATCTAAAATTCTGTCTATAGATAGATCTAATGATTCTTAGAATATCCTGGAAGTTTTAGCCGAAAAGAATGTTCCTTCGCTGAGCTATTGAACTTCCAAAAATAGTCATTTGTCCAAGGAGAAAAAAAATAAAATCAGATTTTTTTTTGATTAAATAATCGAACGTAAACATTTAATGTTTTTTTTTCGATTCTATGTGAAGTTGAAATCACAACAGAATATTTAAAATAATCGAAAACATTACGTTTTTTGTAATTATTATGGTAGATTTCATTCTCTAAATGTATGAATTGTCTTTTTTTAATAATCAGGTTCTACATACAGGTTTAAATTATAAGAAAATATTTAAAATTAACACACAAAATGTTGAAAATCAGATGTCCTTTTGAATAAGTGAATTCTTGTTCGTTTAAAATTGATAAAAAATCAACTCTTTCCCTCTTGCTTTTGCCACAGACGTGTCACATAAAAACCCCATTATTCGACCTTCCAGAGAGTACCTAAAAATGAGTCAAAAATTCAGTAAATCGATCATGACTCGGCGACAAAGACCTATGCGGACAAACCTTTTTGGACTTTTGCTAATCTCATTGAGATCTGTCTGTGGGTCTAATATGAATTTAAACGACGGATGTCACCTGGGATAGTTTCATTGTAAGTGTGTTCCGCACTATTGGATGGAAAAAAACGTTAAAAATAGTTAGAAGTTTGATTAAGTCCTTTGAAAAAAATCAAGCGTCGTCAAAAACTCACTTTTTCTGGAAAAGCATGACTAGATATTCCGACGTACACTTTCATAATCATTATAACTTTGAACTATATCCCTGTTAAGAGCGAATTTTTGCCGAAAAAGGTTGGTTTGTCTTACAGATGTGGTTCGATGACACATCTCCAGTAGTATTTTATCAAAATACAAGATAAATTCAAAAATATTTTCCTTTTAAGAAAAGTTTGCCAAGACTTGGCTTTTTTCATAAAATTTCTCAGCTCTATTGTAGATTTTTGAACTTACTGTATCTATCAAGATTAGCGAAAGTAGGAAATCAAAAAAAGACAAGAGTTAGTGAACCCCAGTATCTCCGATTAAATAAAGAAAAAAGAATAAACTTTTTCAGTCAAATTAGCTGAATGCCATTGAAAATACAGTAAACAAAAAAAAAGTGTTATAATTATATTAAAATTGTCCTAGCTTTCATTAAGAACGAGATGTGACGCTAAAATTTCTCTTTATGTGTAACTAGACACCCCTCAATATTTGTACAAAGTTTCAGATCAATACGATTGATAAAGCTGACTAGATTTTGAAGATCGGGTATTGATGAGCAAAAAAGACAATAAAATGTTGAAACTTCGTTAGAGAAAAACGAAAGCTTTTCAAGATTCCGGGATCATTCCTCATCAAAATATTCGTACAATTGCAATATTTCAGAATTTTTTGCATAAAGAATATACCGTACTAACGTTTCTGTTACGATCAATTCTATGCTGTCGATAGTGTTTCAATAGCTAAAAAAATATGTCTATAGTATTGATAAATTTTGGTCTCATAATAATAAACAAGTATAGAACAGTAATTAGCATCAAAGTTAAATTATTCTTTCAAAACGAAAATATCTTTAAAAACAAACAATTCATTTTAGATCAAACTTTTTTTTTCATAGCGAGCATACTAGTCATTCTATGTTAAAACCAAATTTCAACTAAAACGTAACTATTACTGATAGTATACCATTCTTGCATAGGTTTCATATTTAATGAACATGTTGTCCGTCTTCAGTTACGATGGTACGTTTTCAAAATAAAATAGTACAATATCTGTGGAATTTAAATGTAAAACACGATATGGTTACTGTGGCTAATCATACAAGATTACTTTATGCTATCTATTTTGAAACACATCTTTTCACTTAATCTCACAGAAATGCAATAAAGAAATAGTTTAAATATTAGAACGAACCGTTATTGATATACGATTTATGCAAGCGGTCGAAATTTCTACGCTATATACTTCGACACTCCTTTTGGTTGTGTTTCACGAAATATCTCTATCTAAGTAGGTGTTTTTTCAGAGTCATCTATTACAAAAATAATTGGACAAAAAAACTAAATTCTAGATCAGTGGAAATAATATTGCAGAAAGGGATAAGTTTCTTTTTTTGGACCCTCCTGTAAAATTTCTTTTATGCAGTCCAAAAAATACATACAGATTAGATTATCAATTTTAATCTCCAGTTAACGAAGGAACGTTTTCAACTTATCAGTTGTTTTTTTAACGAAACCTATTGAATTATAGATTATCAACCATGCTGATTTCGAATATGATCATAAGCAATCTCCTTATGCTTTCATATATTGGTTTTCTAGAGAATCGATTATTTTGACCAGCAAATTTTCCACGTAAAAATTGTTTTTTCTCTGTCTAGATTATAGAGCATATGAGAACAGTAACTTTTTCTGTTCATATAGAAATAAATTCTCTATATGAACATCTTACATATCTACCGAAGTGTTTTTAAATTACAACATCGTATATGTTCCAGTAACATTCGATTTAAAAAACAACAATTGAGGATTAAGAATATTTTCATATAAGGAACCATTTCTCAAGGATATTTGATCATGTATTCAAGTTGACAACGTTACTTTGGAAGAAAAACAAAATTTTGTTTTTCTAGATATCTCTATAATACTCTTAGCATTGCAAAAAAAAAATTAATCATGATAGTTCAAAGAAGTTTATATTCAATTAAATAAACTAACCCAATATTATACCAACGATTTTTAAATTTTTGCACCAATGGCCCACCTGAATTGCCCTATGCAAAAAAAAAAAACTTCGTTTTCATAGTTAAAATTATAGAACATAACATTTTTTTTTCTTATACTTGACAAGCATCAATATCACCAGATAAAACACCAGCACATATAGTCATTGTAGAATTTTTCCGAGGTAATATCAATGGATTACATGCATCAAGTGTTGGATCAAGAATAGGTATAGTAACTTGCATCATATAATTAGATATTTCAGTATCAATTTCATTATGCATTCCCCATCCAACAATAGCTAAAATATAATTCTATTAAATCTAGTAAACAAAACATGAATTAGTTACTTCCATAATCTCCAATATTACTAATAATATTATATGTTGGTAAACATATAGCAGATTGTTGATTATCGATAATATCTTTATTAAGAACTAATAAAGCAATATCATAACTAAATAATAAACAATAACAATTTTCTAATAAATACAAAATTATTACTATATATATATTTTTTTATTTATTAACTTACGAATAATCATGTGGTCGAAATGGAAGATATTTTTCAGGAATAATTACTTTAATCCATTCAGCTATCCGTTGACCTTGTTCAGTTAAACCAAGTTGACCAATATGAACTTCACCTATTCGTCGAGCATAATTTGGATCTGTCGGAATAGTTATATTATGAAAACAATGTGCAGCAGTTAATACAAGTCGAGGAGCAATAATTGAACCTCCACTAGGATTACCAGTGAATAAAGTTTCGATCGACAATATCAATATTAAACTTTTTACCAGAAATGTATAGCTTGAGTACCAGGTATTTTTTGTCGAAGACTCTATATATTCTTTTATAAACTATTTAAGATTGTAACGGAAATATATGTCAATAGAACATACCGCTACCCATGGCCATTCACCGGCAATAGCTTTTGAACTGCCAAGACTATAATTCATATTAGTTTGTAGTGATATTCCACAATCATAATAATAATTAATATTTATCTTGTTTGTTTCTGAATTTAATCCAATAATGAATATTGTAATATAACTTGTATAGATGAATGCGATTAAAATAAACATAGATTAGAAAGATAAGATAAACAAATGCGCGAAAAAAAAATACAGTTTGTTTATCTTGACTTTATGAATATGAACATTAACAAGATATGTTTATTTGATTGTTCTGTATCCGTTCTATTATGAACATAATTTTCTACAAAAATAACATGTAACTTATTATTGAATTAATTGTATTATGATAATAATAAATAATTCTATACATATATCAATCCTATTTAATATGAATATAAATATTTTAATTAATTGTAATCTTCTGATTTAAACACAACAATAATGAAAAAGAGGATTAAGAGAAATTTATGTAAAATCATTGAGCTTTCAGGAGATATATTATATTCATAAGATGCATTATTAAAGATGTCCTTAGCAAAGACGGAATTGGTTCGCAATTTTTTAGAATCTAAATTTTGATAATTTTAAATGATAAATTATAAACTGAACTAACTGTTGATTTTTTTTGTTCTTAATTCATTAATTGAACATATTATTAAGTACAATCAATCATGTTTCTACCAAAAGAAATTTTCTATATTACATAAAAATTATTTGTAGAAGTTTTGAAGTGATAAATTGAATAACCATGAATTTTTTTATGAATATAAGAAATTGTTCATGTTATATTGATTCTATGTATTCTACTCTACCAACAAGCATATTTATTATAATAAAAGCATAAATGCTCTAACAAAAAAATGAAGACAAGTAGCAGAAATGGAAACCAACAGAGATAAAACTTGTTGACAGACAGTCGAAGGCAGTCTGTTAGATTGAAAAAAAATCTACGCTCTCAAATTTGGCAAACAATTTTTCGATAATAGTTCAAAACTTTCGCACGCACGACATACAAGGTAGGGGCGGCACTAGCCTATATCAGCTCCTTTGACAACGAGACAAATGGGGATCGGTTCGGCTCCAAAAAAACCACAAACTGATCCCATCCTGAGGGTTAGATGAGTCGAGTCTTTTTCAGTTTATTTTTTATAAAGAACGTTAACAAGTTTTTTTATGACACGACAACTTGTTCTCCAGTTTTGTATACAAAAAACAACATAAGACCACTATAGCCTTGCCAACAAAGTAAGAAAAGTAAAATCAACTCTTCTTTCTCATACAAGTTCCGCCAGACAATAAACAAAATTATCAATTTCTTATAAACAAAAACCTAAAATTAAAGTTGTTTACAAACAAAAAATATTTATTAACATTGAAAATAATTCCTTATTACATTTCAAAGATGTTCAAGTGTAAATATTAGCTTGTGAAAACTTCGAACGATACAATCTATAGCAGCAATTGAGAATCACATTTTTCTGCTAGACATGAGCAAAAGTTTCAATTTCAAAAGAACAAAAAACAAAAGAATAAACAAGTATTTATTTTAAATAAAAATTATATTTTAATATAATTAAAGTTTTGATGATACTTTTCGAAGAGCTTCATCAATTTGTATTACATTTGAATGTGTCTGTGGTAATATTTTCCGATAGATTTTTGCTGCTTGTTCATAATAAGATAATGCTTGTTGAAAATTTCCTTGATTTTCATAGACAAGTCCTAAATTTTCTAGTGTCATTGCAATAGATGAATGTTCAGATGAACATGATTTATATTTTATTTCGAGAGCTATATTATAATGTTTTATTGCATCATCATAATGTTCAAGACACAAATGTAAAGCACCAATATTATGATGTAATGTTCCTAAATTTATATGATTGATTGGTAAATATTTTTCATTAATAGATAATGCTTGTGTATAATAAGAAATAGCTTCTGAATATTTTTTTTCACTTCGATAAATAAGTGCAATATTATTAAAACACTTTACTATGTTTATTTGGTTAATATCAAAGGTTTCTTTCCATATTTGTAATGCTTTATTATAGAATTCTAATGCTTCTTTAAATTGTTCTTTTTTTTGATAAATTTCACCAATCATATAATATAATATTCCTAAATGAGAATGATTTGATTCATTTTTTCTTAATAAATTTTCTAATGATAATTGATAATATTTTAAACTTGATTGATAACATCTTTTTTCATAAGCAATCATACCTAATGAATAATAACATGCATCAATATCTGAATGATCATGTGGTAATTCATTTAATAAAAGATTATAAAATTGTTCAGCTTCAACATATTTATTTTTTTGTTGTAAAATAGTTCCTAATAGAAGAAGATCTGTTGTCCAATAATTATCATCAAGTTTTATTTTATCAATTATTGGTTTCAAATTTAAATCATTATCATTACATAATACCATTCGAATAATCGATATTTGATTTTCATTTGAATGAATCTCTAGAAGTTGAAATGTTGATCCTAAACTGAATAATATTTCTTGTTGGTTTGAAGAATAACAAAATGATACTGATGGATTTGTTTTAATTTCAAATAAAATTGATTGTAAATTTTCAGAATTTGTAATATAATCAAAATATGAAAATGATTGTTCACGATTAATATTTGCAGAAAAAAATGAATCTATTAAAATATAATGTCCAATAGAATTTTTTAATTTTTCTAAAATATCTATTGAAATAAATTGACTATGATAAACTTCTATTGATGTTAAAATTTGATTTTGTTTTATTTGTTGTTGAAGATCATAAATAAAAAATCTTGAAAAAATTAATAAATTAATATTTTCTTCATAAAATGCTTTATTTAAAATTTTTCTTAGAAATATATTTTTTGTAAACCATAATAAAGCTTGATTAGATGAATAATCTTTTTCAAATAGATGAATATTATTTAATTCAATTTGATTATTTTCATATTCTTCTTGACATAAATAAAGAAAATCATCTGTTATGTTATCTCTTATTTTTAATTCTAAAAGAAAATCAATTAAACATTTTTTATAAATAAAATCTCCATTGAATCCATTGATAATATTTTCTTGTTCAATATTTGTTTTAAAACAACTAATAGATACTAATTCATTTACTTTATTATGATTGTATTTTTCATGTTCTAATCGAATTAATTTAATTAATTCTTCCGTTTGACTAGTCACGGCTCTAACCTAAAAAATAAAAATTACGTCAACAGTTTTATTGACTTTTATTAATAAATCATGGATGATCAGAAAGTTTTTCAACAAGATGTTTATTCACTTTCGATTCGCTAATAATAGGAAGCCACGGATCCTTCCAGGTTCGGGTCTGGCCCACACAAACGTAGATCGGCAGCTTCCTATAGGTAAGTATTGACCCGTATTGAGAATTTTTCGTGTAAATTTTTTAAAACCAATACCATTAATTGTTTTGAATGATCAACAGTCAAGTACTGCAAATTCAACACAAGCAACTTTAATTTCCTGCTTAACTCGATCTGGAATAGCTGGTTCAGTTTTTGAAAATGCATAAAACTGGTTGGCACTTGTTTGAGTATTGAAAACTGTCGTTTCTTTTTATTTGGATAACTACGAATATGCTTAGATAGTAAATTAGTACCAGAAGATGATCTATAAATAAGTAAATCTTCACAATGATTGCATAGAACATATTCTTGATTGATCTTATTTACATAAATACAATTAAGATTATTGCCATACAGATGAAGATTTTGATGTTACTGTTAGTTTGATGATTTCCAATGACGAATTTTGTTTAGTAATTAACTGTTCAATTTCCTTTTTTTTTTTTTGTTAACATAATGTTCTTTTCAACTAAGCGAGAACTTTTTGTTTATTAAGCATCAAGTAATGAGAAAGTGAAAAAAAAAGAAATAACTGTTTATTGACTTTTTTCTGAGAGTAGCCAACAAAGAGCTAAAACGAACCCGAGTCCCGATTCACAAAAATGCGGATCCACGACTCTATCCGGAAGAAAGTGTTCCTGACGAATTAAAATCTATGCATTAAGATAAGAATTTCGTTCTTTTCTCGAATATAGACTCAGAAATTTTGTTTAAGAGTAGTGAAATAATCTTTCAAAAGTCCAAAAGTTTAGTTTGAATGGAAAATTCCTGTATTTTCACTAATTTTTATTTATATATCAGGTCATAGATGGGCAGCTACCCTATAAAATGCACTATTTTTTTTTGACTTTCGACAAGGCATCTTCATTATCGTTTTTCCTAAATAATCATTTTTGATAGAAAATTCTTGTAAACTTCTCACTTTGCTAAAAGCTACAGCTTAGTTCAATACCACATTTTGTAGAGAATTGTGCGCTCTAGAAAATGACCGGCTCCGATAATTCTAGTATGATCGAAAAGAGACTTATAGAGTAAACAAAAATCTATTAGCTATCTATTAAAAATAATTTTTCAGATCTTTCCAAAAAGTTTCTCACTGTTCTTGAACAAAAATAGACATAGCATTTCTAAGTCCATATTCAGATTCCGGTCGCGAGCTATAGTTTTTGACTTGTTTGCAATGCTTTCTAGCAGACTAAAGTAAACACACATGTTTACCGGAACTGTTGATCCATAAGTTCTATCCAAACTAATTTTTTGAATTTTTCATAGAATATTTCACTACTTTCCAACAAAATTTCTAAGCCAATATTCGAAAAAGACTACAAAGTCATAGCTTTTTACTCGTCGAAAATACTTTCCAGTGGACCAAAAGTGAATAAACATCTTGTTCAAAAATTTTCCGATCATCTGTTACTGAATTTGAGAATTTTTAATAATAATTAAAGCAATCTCATTTTCATGACGTTTATTACTAGATGAAAATTATTTTCTTTTTATTTACTTTTTTATATTCTTTTGACCATTCTTCATGTATTTTTTTATTTAGACAATAAATATATATGGAAACAATTTGTGGTAATTGATGTATATGTGGTATAAAATCTTGACCCATTTGACCACTAGTAATAAGAACAAATCGTTGTTGCTTTGATGATGATTGTATATATTGTCCACATTCATCTTTATTAATAAATATTTTTAAATTTTGAATAAATACAGAAAAATTTCGTTGAAGTTCAAGATGTTCTATACTATCCAGAGGATTATTAAGCCAAATAAGAGTAAATGATGCTGATATTTTATCATTCATTTTCGATGATCAAATTGCCATATGTGAGTCATACATGAAAAATAAAATGAATATCAAAATAAAGAATACGATAGTAGTTTGATAAGATTTTATTCGCCTTGAATTTATATACTTTATTATAGTTGTAATGTGATAACAAAAAAAGAAGAACAAGGACGCGAAATCTCGAATTACAAAAGCTGATAAAATTCGGGCGATACGAAAATAAATAATCGGTCTGTCATAATAAAAAACAAGACATAAAATAAAAAGATTAATTAGAATTTTTTATTTATTGATGTTTTTAGTTTATTACACATATTTAATCTACTTTTGTTTTTACTGACTATCAATTAAATGAAAAATAAAAATTATCTGTAATCGAAAGAAATCTTGTTTTCAAATACACGTTTGTTTTATTTTCGTTGAAAAAATATATGATATTCGTTGTAGAACATTATATATATAATAGAATATTTCAATGAATCTTCATATTGATATAACATATGAAAGTATTATATATAGGAGATAGAAAAAAAACACTTGCAAAAAATGTTTCATTTTTACAAAATTAGAAGAATATCAGAAATTTCTTCAACTCAACAATAATATATTCATGTAAATTTTAAGAATATATCGCGTGAACTATAAATAATGAACCTCTTAGTATATTGAATCTTACCTTTTTTTTGTCTGTTTAGTTCTAACGAATGAAACTTTCTAACTTGAAAATCCCATGTGAGTTCAAAGTCTATTCATAAAGTAGACTCTAATGAGATATTAAAAACTCTCAAAAGGATAAGGATCCATAGGCCTTCTCTATAGAGTTATAGTCCATAGCGCAGTATGTACAAAATAGTGTCCTGCACGGGTACGACTTTTCGCAACTGGATCCAGATTGAAGCTAATGGACATTCAGCAGGATATTTTCATAGTCACAGTATAGTTTTCAAACTTTTATTTTATTTGAAAAAGTATACTATTTAGTTTCTTCTAGAAACAACAACGAAAAAGAAAGCCCATCGCAAATTCCATTAAAAAGCAAGTGATTCAGGATTCACTTAATGTCTTTCTGCTTCTAAAATCTAATCAATTTTGCTAAGTATATATTTATTTGTTGCTGATGACACTGGAATGAAAAGTAGTGTTCGTGTCAAACATCATAATTATGGACGCATACATGAATGCTTTTTCCATCTTGATAATGTATGTTCATCTTTTTGATAATTTATTTTCTTCTCGATGTATTCAATTACTTCATCATATGATTTATTATTTTCTGTAGATGAATTTTCATTAAAAAAGAATTCCTTTAATAAAACAATATTGCTTTCACTGATGTAACCTGTTCTCAAATATAATACATTGCTCAATTATGATCGAATCAGTTTTTACTCGTATGCTTTTATATAAATAGCAGTTTAAAAAATAAAAGCATTATGAAACATTGATATCTCATTCATTGGCGACCAGGTGTCAAGTACTCGACCGAATGGCCGGATACTAGTACAAAAGAATTGCATGACAATATATTGACCTGAAATTTCGCTCATAGATAGACTTACTCGTAACTAGATTGTCTTGAAAATTTCAGCTTAAAAGCATATTTCTTTCATGAGATTATTCAATTTCCAAAAATCACTAATTTTTCATGTAAGATTCGAGAATTTCATGTTTTTCATGAAATCAATATCTCGTGAAAGGTGCATTCTTTTGAGCTGCAATTTTCAGCTATTTAAAAGTAGACTTACCTACGGGTAAAATTTCAGGTCAAAATATAGTCATGCAGTTCTCTAATATGTACTGTGCTATAGGCTAAAAATTCAGAAAAACGGCTATTATTCTATAGGAAAGGCCTATAGCTTCTCAAGTGGCAAACGAAAGAATAAAGATTGTAAAAGGCTTTCGTGAAACTGCAGAAAAGTCGCATTGCTTGAAGTATAATCTTTCCTGTATATTAAGTAGCTATTAACTGCTGTCATTCCAAAAGTCGATTCAAATGTTACCTATTAATGTCGTTTTATTAACTGTCCGACCTCTATATAGATCATTCGAATAGTAAATTCGCTGATTACAAACTCGAAGAAAAGGAAGAGATTAATAGGCTTTCTTCAAAGGCGTTATGCTAATTGCTATGAGAAACTTAGGCAACAATAATCAAGAGAAGCAAGTATAAAGGCAACACAGAAAATAATAAGCTTCTGTGCGAATTGTGACAAGTTGTTTTGTCTTCACTGTTTCAACAAGAAACATCACGCCATCCAATAAACGATTGAAATAGAGGCAGAGGCTGACTGAGTGAGAGAATATATGTCACCTCCAGGTTGGAAAATAAGGACGAAGGCAGTGGTATTTTATTGTTAATCTCATAAAGTATGATGGAACCCATCAGTGCTTCACATTGCCTTGAATGTATCAAACATTCTAGTAAAATAGAGGATTTTCATTAATATTTGCACGGAACAAGAAGAGATGCAACAATTCAACAGATCGATTTGGTTATTAGAGCACTATAAATCCTTCGTCGCAAACGAAGCTTCTGGAACTTCTAAAATGTACAAGTATTCAAAAGTTTGAAGGTGACAGCTACTAATACGATTTGGGTGAGGATGTGGATTAGACCTACCACCATACCAAACCAGGCTGATTATTATTTCTGATTTTACGAATACGTTTAATTCTAGAAATAATAAATTCTGACATGAAGCAGCAAATTATAACGAAGCGACAATTAATTATTCGAGCGGTGACAATATGTTCTCATGATGAAAAACAAAACCAGTAATGCACGTATAATGTGATAGAAAAAAGTTTAACAACAACGTATTGTTGATTTTTTTTCTAAAATGTAAAGTAATCAGTTCAAATCCATATAGTGATTTTAATAGCTAAAGAAATTTTCTATCTAATGTATCCTCTAGCAAGATTTCATAGATGAACTATCATAGTAAATTATTTTAAAAACTGAATACAATAGTTGTCACGTCCTAGAAGCTATTTTTTAACAAAGCCATTTTAAAGAGAACAAAATGAAGAGTCGCCATATTTTCTACAATTTTCTGTTAAAAACTTAAATGTATTTAAAAAAATCGAAAAAAAAGGGTTTTTTAGCTGATTGTTGGCCAATTTCGTGATTTTTCATGGTTTTTGTGATGCTTGTAACTTTTTAGAGGAATGTTATAGAAAATATGGCGATCGCTCATTTTTTTTCTCTTTAAAATGGCATTATTAAAACATAGCTGCTGGGATCTGAAAACTACCGTGTCCGATTTTTTAGGAATTCTGCTATAGAATGCATTAGATAGCAGAGATTGGATTAGTTTGTGTTTCTTTTTGGAACCAAACCAAATTCATCTCTGTTAGATAGAAAATTCCATCGGCTATTAAAATCACTATCTAGATTAGACCTAATTGCTTAATATTATAAAAAACAATAAAAAAATACGTTGTTGCTAAACTTTTTTCCGCTACCTTCTATATATGTATTTATCATGTGTGATTTCAATATTGGTTTTAATTTGAGTATTATCAGTGATAAATGAATGACTGACAAAATTTTCCATATACCAAATATAGGTCATTGAGTCCAATTTAGCTCCAAGTATAAGATTGTTGTATCCGGTAGGATACGAAAATTGTATGTATGCAGGATACACTGGTTGAAAACCAAATCAGATGAATCATGATTTTAAGGCATTCTTTTCATATCAACAAAAGTTTGTTAGAAGAGAATCACAACATTAATTCCTATTAAGACAAACTATATAATCGACCAATTCATAGATCGAAATAATCTATTTATATAGTAATTCATATTTATACAATAATTAGTAAAATGTGTATTAATATTTAATAGCTGGTAAATATTGATATTATCCAACATAAATAACTTAAAAGGAAAAAATTACCGTTAAGTGATACTGTAAATATGTATAACATTAATACATGATGAAAATCCGAAGAGTTATTTCGATCCAATTTTTTCACTGATTTTTGATAGTTTCTTTATCAATTGATAATGGACACAGTTCAACTTTCTTATGAATTAATAATTCATTAACTATTTCAATCGATATATATATATGAATGAAGCTTTAAAATCCAACTAGTGTTTGAAACAGTCAGTTAAGTGTTTTATATGAGTTTTGCATTACAATTGATTTGAATTTGTTAGTTCAATAATTTCGAACTACATTATAGCTCAATAGAAGAATTTATAAAAAATAAAAATAAACAAAATGAAATATTATTTTTCATAATTAAATTAACTCAATTAATTTATAAAAAGACATGTTTAATAAATAATTAGCTATTAGATATAATAGACTTTCGAAATATGGGAATATTTATGAGATAAATAAAAGAAAGATGAAATTCAATAGATTATTTTCGAAACATACAACGAAGAAAGATATTTTCAAAAACCGTACAAGATTTCATAATATTCTCATAAAATAATGGTTATCAATGAACATAAACAGTGTATAATAATTACCAATTGTCTGTCGCATTGTGCTTTGTATTGTTGTCTAAAAAATTCTATCGCATAATCTGAATGTTTGTGAGTAAATTTTCAAAAAGACAGTACCAATCAGAGATGTGCGGGGCATTGATTTTCCATCCCCCGCGGGGCCCGCTCCGTAAAATTCACAAACCCGTTCCGTCCGAACCCCGTGGTTATTCTTTTTGAGAATCCCCGCTCCGCCTGTACCCCGGCAAATCTATACCCGCTCCGCCCGTACCCCGCACAGGCAGCTTCTTGGACCAGCCCGCCCGACCCGCCATTTTTGTGACGGGCCCCGACCCGTCCCCGTGTAAGATACTTTATTTTTAATGATGCATTCCTTTTATGAAAAATCATTTTTTACAAAAACAAAACTCAAGTCTATATGAGATGGTTTTGAATGATTCACTTTGTGATTGTCGACAAGCACGTATTTTTGTGGTTGTTCTCTTAAAAATATTTTTATATTTGACGAATTACATTTAATATTACTCGATGAGCAATGACTGAGAGATGAAGAAATAATTGTAGATGAACGATCAGTATTCGACGAAGCTCTCCTATTAAGTGATTCATCAGGCGATAAATCATGTAAATCGATGATACTTAGGTCTGACCAAAAGTTCTGGCAACATTATATAAAAATATAAAGGTAAGTAGGCAGCTTTAATTTTATTTTATCAAATATTGAGGACAGTTGCCATGATTATTTATACCAAGTTCGAACCTTTCCAACAATTTGTTAAAAGTTTTTTTCGAAAAAAGTTTTAGATATCGCACGAGCTTATCATGTTTCATTTATTTAATCAGTTAAACTACATTTAATAGAATTAGTTAGCGAAAAGTTACATAGTATCAGGCCTGGCGAATATGATAGATATGATATTATATTGAAGCCTTCTTCTGTCATGCAATTAATAACATTAGATGAGTATGAAGTCAACGATGACCGTCAAGCAATTTTGTACATTATGAACCTGATGTCTCTGTTTGTTTCCATATTTGATTAATAAAATGTTTTGGAGAGCGTTCAGCCTAATACTTGTGACTTACAGTCTTGCCTTTATCTACATTCAGGAGTATTTGATTTAAAAAATATACCAAACAAAGCATTTTCTAAAATCTTTATTCATGAACAATAGTCTTTGACGATTCATCTTCAATAAGCCAGCCAGCATCGGATAACTTATGACTAACCTATCTAAAATAAATCTATATCTCATCACTAGTAGTACTAGAATGCAACAGATATGATCGAACAAGATTTTGCTAACTTTTCACAATAAATGAAATATGATTAGCTCATGCGGTATCCATGATACCTAAAATTTTTTCGAAAAAACTTCAAAAAACTTTTAACTAATCATTGGAAAGGATCAAACTTGGTATAAATAATCATGGCAACTGTCCTCAAAATTTGATAAAATAAAATTAAAGATATCTCCTTATCTTTATATTTTTATATAATGTTGTCAGAACTTTTGGTCAGACCTAAGTAGTAATTCACAAAAAAATTCAAACGATAATTCTAAATATAAAATAAGTTTTAGTCCAGTTATTCACTTAATATAAATTGATAGTAGAAGTTGCGTATGACAGACGATAAAGAAAGAAACAAACAAATGGTAGACAATCTTGTACATAATAGGATGAAAGTAATGAACCAATCAATATGTACTTTGTACTACATACCTATACTAAGGACCAGTGTTTTTAATATTAAGTACCACAAGCAAAAGCAAAGTACCCGAGGTACTTACGATTTTGAAAAAGTGCCATGTTTTGCACTTTGCTCGAAAAAACAAAATACCTGGATAGTATTTTGTAAAATAAAAAAGCACTTTGCTCATTTGTTCGCCATTGTTTAAAAATTGCTCTTTTTCTTTTTGTTTACATATTCTCTTATATTTATAGATGGAGCTAAGAAGCTTTTTTTTAATTTGACCGAATGTATCATTGAAATTTCTTTTCTTTTTCTAGATATTGAATTGAACCTTGTTTTTATACATAACTTTACTTGTTCTTATTTGATATTTAGCTTTGGCTCTTCTTTAATTTATATTTATTCATTCAATTGTTGTACATCATTTATATTTATTATAATTTATATTTTATTTTATTTTTTATTTTGTTGTATATACAATAGTAAAGGTTAATTCAGAGAAGTGTTTATTTAACTTAGTCAGATGAATATGTGTATTTTTATCTTTATCTACAACTTTTTTGTATATTGTTTTTTGTACAGAAACATATTATCAACTAATAAAGGTCAGTAGTATTTTTTTTCTTTGTTTTTCTTAACATTTCTTTCGTTTGGTACTTTGGATACTTTGTTGTTTAAAACAAAGTACCGCCTAGCACTTCACCAATAGAAACAAAGTATCTAAATGTACTTTATTTTAGATTTCTGTTAAAAACCCTGCTAAGGACATCCCGTGATAAGTTTTGACGATCTTTCATCACACCCGAAAAAAAATGTTTACCCGCCCGAACCCGTGTATTTCATACCCGCTCCGCCTGAGACCCGTGTCATTTAAAAAAATTATTACCCGCCCCGCCCGCCCGTGTGCCGGAAAATACCCGCGCCCCGTTAATCCCGCGTTTAATTAAATTTTTCTTCCCCGCCCGCCCGTGGCCCCGCGGGGTGAACCCCGTGGACCGCGCATCTCTGGTACCAATAGGTTTTATATTTGCAAAAAATCAACGTGATAAACATGCAAAAGATGATATGGAAATTTGACTCATACTATTACTCATTGTTTCTTCCATTCTATTTTCTGATTACTGCATTGAAGGAAAGAAAGCTCCCTTTAAAAACTTTTTCTCCCATTAGATGTGTTCAGGATTTGTGATTTAACCAAATTCATACTGCGTAGTGTTTCACTAAAGGGAACGAGAGAAAAATCAGAAAATCAGGACATCGCGTTGACTGTAGCAACCTCTGCTGCGATATATGCAAAGTACAATCAGACAAAAATCTCCAAAAAGGAAACACAAATTTGATAGTGAAAAAATTCTTATCTCTCTGGCACGTGTTTTATGTATACTATTATGAAGAAAACAAAAGTGTAGATAAGAGTATTAATGTCAGCCAATGAATTTAAAATGACTTGTTGTGAATATTACAACTGAAAATTATAATTTTAAAAATATTTATTTTGGTAAAAATCACTTTTTATATTCGTAATAAAATATTATCAAACTATTTAGAAAGCGTAAAAATTAACAACAAAAACTACACATGCGTCAATTTCACTAATAGGAAGTTTCAAATATTACTTATTGGCTGTGTTTTTTTCTGTTCTGTTACAAATAGATAGACTTATTGACAGATATTACTTCCCAGCTATGCTTTGATTTTTATACGACCAATTAATTTCATGACTTCTACAAGCAAGTTAGACAAGGCTCTTTGGACTAATATAACTCGACTGAAATTATTAACAAAATTAGATGCACCAGTTAAATTCATATTTGAACGATCTCCTTTTGATGATGAACAAGACGAAGAATGCCCTACAGTACGAGATGAATATCTCATTATTGGAAAAATTTTACCAGAATCAGATATTTTCAAACAGGGTGCATTTCAAATAGAAATGAAATTAATACCAACATATCCCATACAACCACCAGAAGTCCGATTTATAACACCTATTTATCACCCTAATATCGCTGAGGATGGTACCTAAACACATTAGTTATAAAAAATAAAACTTACTACAAACATTTTATTTTCTATTGATGTAGGTAAATTTTGTTATCAACTATTGAACAACGCTTCAAAATGGAAGGAGGGAACAACTTTAGTTGAAGTTGTCAAAACTATTGTTAAACATGTTGATAACCCTGACGCTGATTATGCAGCTAATTATGGTAAATTTTTTTTTTTATTTGAATTCTTCTATTACTTTCCTCTCTTGCTAGAAATAGGCAAAGAATATATGGAGAACAGACCAGAATTCAATCGAAAAGCATTAGAAATGGTGAAAAAACATGCATTACCTCGTAAATGATTGTTATATTTGATGTGGACATTCATGTATAATAAAATATCTCATTGCAATCGTCTTGTATTTTGAAAAAATAAATTATTCAAAGTGATAATTTATTCGAAATAAAAATGTTTTTATGAATGAAATTACGTTTTTTTTCTGGAATTTCACGAATATGTTGGAAGATTTGTCTGATTGTTTTTATTTCATTTTTTCATAAATACAAATTCAGTAGAAATTTCTAAGACAGAAAAAAGAAATAAAATTATTTTCTTGACTTCGTTTTTCTGTTTGAAATTATAAACTAACAAAATTAGATAGTTTTTACATATTGTTATATAGAAAATAAAATGTAACCGTGTGTTATACAATAGTCGATTTGACATTTATAAAAATTTGTTTTTATTTGATGATTTATTCTATCTGTCTATCCAATTAATTTGTTCACATGTGACTTTTATGGGAGTATATACAGTGAAAATTCTGAAGCAGAATGGCTTCATGACATGTCTAATTATATCCAAACAAAATTACACAATTCTCTTGAAATTTTCCAATAAACCAATTGTTTTCTATGATAAGTCGTTTTTTTTTTATGTTGGAATATTCCAGTGAAAATAAGCATGTATAAATATGCGACGCACATTGTCGACGGTTATTTTTTTTTCTCGACAGAATGAAAAAAATTATATCATGAGTAATGTAGATTTTAAAAAAGAAGTTTTTTTTTTATGAGATCATTTTAAATGCACTATTATTCTACATAAAAAGTCGTATGTATATAAAAAAAATTGTTTTTTCTTCTTTGTATCGCAAATTGATACTAATAAACGATTTGTCTTGTACAAAAAGCAACCATAAAAATCGTTGTCGTAATTAAAAACCAACATGTTTTTTTTTCTTTTTTACCTTTTATATTTATTGTTATGGTTGTTGTTTTTCTCTTTCATTGCGTCTATGAAGAACGACACAGAAAATAGCCTACATACAGACTTATAGCATAAACTGGTTGTTCGTCGACCTGTTTTTTTCCCTTTTTCTTACATTTTCAAATAATAATTATGAAGCAAGTAAAAAAAAAGTATCTATTTAGGAAATGCGTTTCGAATTTTGTTATTTGTTTATCAACAAAATCGACACACGTTTCTTTTTCTCGCAATTCTTGCATCCGTAAAAGAAGTCTTCCTTTTATTTTAAACATTACTATTGAATTATTCGAATCTTTTAGACTGAAAAACAAATGGCTACCGTACAATTAAACAAAGAGCTCTACAATAATATAACTCGACTAAAATTATTAAATGCAACAAATTCAGATCCTAAGTTTGTACTTGAAAAATCACCATTTGATGAAGATAATGTAGAAGCAGCTGCTTCCGCGAACACAAAAGAAATCTTCATTACTGGACGAATTTTTCCAGAATCAGAAATATTTAGAGAAGGTGCATTTCAAATCGAAATGAAAGTAACACCAAGTTTTCCATTTGATCCACCAGAAGTACGTTTTCTTACCAAAATTTATCATCCAAATGTTGCTGAAGACGGTAAGAAAAAAAAATTAAAGATGATTCTTATCAAGTTTTTTTTTAATATTAGGCAAATTTTGTCATGAACTATTAAAGAAACATGCAAAATGGACCAATAAAGCGTCTTTAGTGGATGTTGTAAAAGCTGTTGTGCAACATATCGACAAGCCTGATATTGATTACTCACTTAGTCTTCGTGCGTTCTTGTTTTTTTAATCTCCGCTTGATTTATTTTTCTTCTTTTTTTAGAACTCGGTCGTGAATATATGGAAAATCGACCTGAATTTAATCGTAAAGCATTGGAATATGTCAAGAAACATGCTTTGCCACGTAGTTGAAGACTCTATAGATTTGTTTTCTAAAAGAGCTAAACCTTTTTTATGTTTTAATTGTCTAATATATCACAGATTTTGGTTTCATTAAATAATTTCGAATGCTACCACTTTAGATGACAAAATATATTAAGATTTGCATTATTCAATTTTACAATATATTTTTAATTTTAATCGAAAAAATTAAAATTATAAATAGTGTTTTAGTCAGTCTATGGAATTATTATTAATTAATAAGAGTTGAATGTTCGAATGTTTTTTTTTCTGATAACGTCTTTAGGCAAGTTAGAAGTCTCAAGAGGACTCTTGTCATATGTGTAAATGAATTATACGATAAACATTTTATTACTCGAATTCAATGTCATAAGAAGTAGGGAGAGTCCTTCAAACGTTATTATCGCTAACATTACGTTATAACCATTCAATCGGTTGATTGAACTAGAAACGCTTATAAAAAATCTGTATAATTAACTTGTTTATTGGTATGCTATCAGACCATAGATGACTCACACTTTGTTATCAGATTCTGCTAGATTTATGTACTTAATTCTTAATTTTCAAACAACAGATTCTATGCGATAATTTAGGTATCGAATGAGACACTTTTTGTTAAGATTAAGTTTCTATAAACATTCATTTTACATTGACAACGTTTTGCTGATACTGCTCTCTATAATTTTTAGCGATGTAGTTCTTGGTAAACGTTGACGAGCATATGCTAATTAAGTTTCTTTTTCAGTTTTTTACTATACAATATAAAAATTTTCTGGATTTGTTCAATACTTGAAAGTTTCATTATAGATGTCACTGGCAGCGAATACATCTGGCAACGATTGTAAGAAAGAAACATCTTTCTAATTCATGTGACAGTATATCATGAAGTACATTTTATTTTTGGTGTTAATTGCAGTTTGTTAATAATATACTTGAAAATCAAAGAATATCATTTAATATTCTTAGTTGAAAAGTCAATATTGAGATATTAAGAAAGGAAAAAGTTCGCTTAACTTTGCTTCTCTTTTAATTAATCAGTATAAAACGAATGTGTACGACAGTGAAGTAATAAAAACGAAAGAAAACAAATATATAATACAATGATAATTATTGTTTCATTCTATTGTTTCAATTGACAGGGACAGTAAAACCTGCCTTTGTTTTCTTTTCGTAATGATTGTCTTTTTATTTTTGAGTATTGATTGACCTATACAAGAAAGTTTCAAATCAGATATGAATCGATATATAAATTTTAGAAGATTTCTTTCAAATGTAAATTTATTCGAGATATATGAATTCTTCCTATCTAAATACAATCATTGAAAAAGTTCCGATTCTTTAGAATAAACTAATAATTAACCTATAATAAAATATTTTAATATTTGGGTCAATAGTATTTTATTTCCACGAATAACCATACCAAATACTGTCTTTAATTATTTCCATTTTTCGTTTTTGTAGATAAAATATGAATTTCTTCGTTAAGAGCAAAAGAAACTTAAGAATCAACAAACATTTTGATTGAGGTAATTAGTACTATAGTTGATTATACTGCTAATTCAAATATTGATGAATCATGTTGGAGTGGTTAGATGTTTGTCAATAAAATATTTTATTAATTGAGTTTTCTTGCATTTAGATATTGCTAATGAATATTTGAAAAAAAGAACGTACAAAAGTTCTAGTTTCTGTTCTACAAGAATCGATTCAAGATCGATTTGATGAAAATTTTTCTCAGCTGAAAACAATTTTAGAAAATTCCATTTTGTGATATGATCTTTTTTGTATAAATCTAATTTTTGATTTCAAAGAACCTTGATTTTATTGTTAGTACTTGTCTAACAATTATGTAGAATAAACTTTTTTTTCATACGATAGTTCTAATTTTTTCGAGTTTTCTCGTTCGAAAAATAATCAGCTTCTCAGAAATAATTGTTACCCAAACCAGAATCTATTTTAGAGGATCGTGCTAAACGATGATGAGAACTAAAATGTTTAGAAACATTACAACAGACAAATGATGAATATATTCATGTCTATTAATTTTCGATGTCATATAGTACTAACATGTTTACTATATCTTCAATCATCTAGGTTTTTCGTGCAGAGCTATTCAGAATGGTTTAGTTTTTGGTAAATGTAATGTCGTTCTCAAGGAATTCAAGAACAAAGAAATGGTTATTGATGCTGCTAAACATGAATTTACTATTGAGTCATTCAAAAATCAAACAAGCGGATAATGATGAGATACGAAATATAACCATTCATCACTGATTATCATAGATGATCAATGAAGAAAGAATACAGCATAGCTACAGTCTTAAAAATGTAATGAACAAAGCATTTTTAAGACTTGATCATGCTCATTATTTTTCCAAGATAAAAATCTAGAGGGCAAAGGTCTCTTGAAGATCGATTTCGTCCCCTTGGAAGTTTCAAATAGACTCTTCAAATGAAAAGATCTGCATAAGACAGTGATCTGTATATTGAGAAAGTTATTTCATGATGTATACATATGGTATCGAAGGAAATCTCAAATTTTCATGGTTCGATTTCTTCAGCTAAAAGTTACCAGTTTTTGGTTTTAATTTCAAGAATATTTAAGATAATTCACTAAGAGATGGTAAAACATATAACTATAAGTTTTTGAAATAAATACGCAATGACTTGTAATGTTTTAGCAAAAATTAGTCTGAAAAATTTTCGAGGAATAATGAAGAAAAAGTATTATTGAAATAGTGTGAAATCTTATTTCGGCAAAATAATTAGATTCTCTCTAGTTTAATTTAGATTTTATTATATACGCTATCAAAGGATAATTTTGAAGAATTGAAGTAAGTCAATTTAGTTTAAAAAAGTTAAGTCTTAATCGTCTTGGCTTGTGTTTCCTGGATAATTATGATCGAAATTTCTGGAACAAATTACTTGCCTATATCTATCCTAAATAGTTTTGATAAACATACAACCTTAATCTCGAATTCTCAAATCTTTAGTCAAACATAATTACTTGATGTTTGAATGCTCTCTTTTTGAATATACAAATCTTTAAATAAATATATATCAATTATCACCCAAAAGACAAATAATTTTTATTGCTGATACTTTGAAAAAAAAATTCCAATTTATATTACAATGCCTTCTATATGATCTTATTTTATGTCATAGTTTGCAAATATTGTTCAGGAATTCATATATCGTTTTGTCATTTTTTTATCTCCTTACAATGACAATATAACTCGCACTCACGTATTGAGTTGTTTTCTTTTGTTTTTGAATGAAACAGTAGGTCATTTCTAAGAATATCACTCTCATAGCAAAAAGTAAACCTTTCAACTTATGATTTTAAAACTACGTAGTTTGTTTTTTTCTGTTCTCTTCCGTCGTATATAATGAAAGAAAAATAAACCATCCTTTATATCATTTCTAAGGAATATGCTGAGTTTATGGCACCAACGAGGGTACCTTGATACCAATATGTGACAAGAATTTTAGGAGACTTTTTGAATTTTGAAAGCATTCATACATGATAAGTTTCATTGTGATTATCTTATATTTTGAAAAACTGAATTACTCAAAGTGTCAATTTAGTTGGAATAAAAAGGTTTTTATAGATTTCATGAGTCAAATCACATTTTTCTTTTCTTTTTTTTTGTAATATTACGAATGAATAAGTTTAAAAGTTTCTTGAGTAAATTTTGTCTGTTTCCTGCAGAAATGAAAATTCATAAGGCAGCAAACATACTGTCCCGAGATTTTTGAAAGCATAAATATCTTCCTTAATTCGATATGAAGTAAACTTATTCATTTGGCTTTCTTTTTCTTTTAAAATCATAAACTATTTAGAGTAAAAAATTAGATAGCTTTTAAGTCTTGTTGTGGACAAAAATAAAATGTCATCGAGTCTCATATCATAGTCAGTTTGAAAATTACACAAATTAGCTTTTATCTGACGACTTATTCTCTATGTCTGTTCAAATAGTTAGTTTGTTTTGCATTTGACTGTTACATATGAGTGCATAAGATGAAAATTCTGAAGCAGATAGATACTATTACAAATATGATTATATCGAAACAAAATTAAGCAATATTCTTGAAATTCTACTGCATACTAATTTCTTTCATGATGAGTTTTTGTAGAACATGTTTGGCTTAAAAACAATAAGAAAATGTATTCTTGAGTTTTGATTCCTACAAATAAATAAAAATACTTTTTAAGTTGGAATATTCCAATACGAATAAGAAAGCATAAATAGGTGACACATGTTATTTATCCTTATTTTTTCTCAACAGAATGAAAATGAGAAGCCATATGTACAGAAAAATTTTCTTATTATATAGTAAAATGATACTGATAAATGATTTATTTTGTAAAAAAACAAATGTCAAAAACGTCGTTGTAATCAAAAATCAACATGGTTGTTTATTCTACTTTTATGTTTGTCGTCATCGTTGTTTCTTTCTTCAACTGTCTCTGCCAAGGGCAATACTGAAATTAACCTATATTCATATATGATTGTATATTGGTCGTCTATCTTTCTTTTTTTCTTACATTTTCATGTAATGATTAGGAAGTATGAAAAAAACATGTTTACTTAGTGCATTTCGAATTTGCGCTTTCTCTGTCAACAAAATCGATACAAGTTTTTTTTTCACGTCTATTGCATCTCTAAAATAACTGACATTTTTATTTTAAACATTATTACTGAGTTATTAGAGTTTTTTAGATTGAAAAACATATGGCTACACCAAAATTAAATAAGGAACTGTACAACAATATCACTCGACTAAAATTATTAAATGCAACTACTTCAGATCCTAAGTTTGTACTTGAGAAATCACCATTTGATGAAGATGTTGATGAACAAGAAACAGGTGCTTCTGCAAATCCAAAAGATATCTTGATTATTGGACGAATTTTTCCAGAATCAGAAATATTTAGAGAAGGTGCATTTCAGATTGAAATGAAATTAACACCAAATTTTCCATTCGATCCACCAGAAGTACGTTTTCTT